TAATTTATAATATAATACTTACAATCTATAAATAAAAAATAAAATTATTTAATTATATGATGTTTTAATAAAGTTTATTTTGTGTTGTAAGTTAATTTATAATACAATACTTACCAACTGGTTATTATAAAGAAAAATAAAATTATTTAATTATATGATGCTTTAATAAAATTTATTTTGTGTTGAAAAGTTAATTTATAATATAATACTTACTATCTATAAATAAAAAATAAATTTATTTAATTAGATGATGCTTTAATAAAGTTTATTTTGTGTTGTAAAAGTTAATTTATAATATAATACTCACCAGCTGGTTATTATAAAAAAATAAAAAATAAGGTTAATTAGATGATGTTTTAATAAAGTCTATTTTGTGTTGTAAAAGTTAATTTATGATATAATACTTACGAACTGGTTATTATAAAGAAATAAAAAATTATTTAATTAGATGATATAAAAGTTAATTTATAATATAATACTTACCAGCTGGTTATTATAAAAAAATAAAAAATAAATTTATTTAATTAATGATGTTTTGATATAGTTTATTTTGTGTTGTAAAAGTTGTAAAAATTAATTTATAATATAATACTTGCATCCTAAGAATAAAAAATAAATCCATTTGATCAGATAATGCCTTAATAAATTTTATTTTGTAAAATATTTATTTACCTTTATAGAATTTAGTTAAATATTATTTTATTATAAAGCAAAATATTAAATTATGATGTAAATTCCTTTACTATTACTACATATTTTTAAAATAGCTATTTTCTGTGTAAGAAAAAATACCTTCATTCATTTTTTTCTATTGGGAATATAAATGAATTTTTTGTCTACTGTTTTTTAACAGTACTGTAAAATAATAGTAGTAATAGTAAATTATAAATCACGGGAAAATAATAGTGAAAATCGGAACGAAGGAATCCAAATTACTCGATTTTGACCAGAGATAACTTGAAGGAAATCCTACACAGAAGGTTCAAATAATGTTTAATGAATACAGTCGGCGCTCGATATAGTGAAGTTTTGGCTAGTACAAATTTGGAAACTACCTGCGTTAATATCCAATCAAATTCTATTTTTCTGAAGATAGTTTCCAAATTTGTACTAGCCAAAACTTCACTATATCGAGCGCCGACTGTACATTTAATTAGGATAATTTAGGATTCCGAAGAAATCGAAGAACCAGGTGATTTAAATAACGTAATCTTTAGTTTTCATCTCTATCTTGTAACAATAATATCTTAATAATAAAATATGAACATAAATATTTTTTTCAACTCTTGCCAGGAAGAATCCATTCGCTTATCAAACTAACCTAAGTAATTAATTAATTACTATCATACCAGAGGGACGCCTTTGATAAGTATAGTTGTGTATATATTTCTTTTAATTTTATTTCTTTATTTTTATTTAGCTCGTGCCAATGCCTAAGAGGAATAAACCCTAGCTAGATGTGGTCAGTCCAGACACTGAACCTAAAACATAAACAAACAAAGCCCAAACCTATTGCATCTAAGTAACAGATAAGCCTAAAGAACCAAGGCAGATATTTAGGAAGGTAAATATCTTTAGGACATGCTGGCTCAGGCAGATAACAAAGAACTGCTGAGAAAGAGTTACTGGATGGGAAGTAAAACTTGTCCCTACAATGGATTAATAGACCCAACGTTATTAATATCATACACAGAAGAAAAGCAATTGCGATTGAAAATTAAACTATCAAGAAGACATTCAACCACAGCTGTATAAACTAAATAACATACCAATTTAAGCAAATCTAGAGATTTGTGTGAGACGCGAATTTCGATCTCACAATGTGGTAATTTGATTTTCTATATAGATTCCAGAAGGTTTTAAAAAATGATTAACATTAAAGAACTAAAAGATAAGCAGAGAGATGCAAAAGATAATAGTGAGTATTTATAAAAAAAAGATATACTAATAATAAAGTTGATGAAGAAGATGGGTTGGAGTAGTACGCAAAAGAATTAGTACCTTTAACAACAATTAGAAGACTTTCAATGAGTGTCGGTATATATAATGTAAATTTATAAATTAGCAAAATACCACTTGCAACTTCTAATTTACAACATGGTTTCCACATCAAATCAATATTTAAAATCTTTTTTCAATTAATTAATTATTTTTATTTAATATTATATATATATATATACTTTTATAATCTTCAACACTAATTCTAAGATTAAATAACTTTATACATTATTATTCCATAAATATAATTAAGAATCTTTCAATATATAAAAAAATCATTTTGTAATTAGGATTTAAAAATAAAACTTTGTTCAATAGAAATTTTTTTTTATTCCACTTGTGTTTTTTATTTTTATGATAGTTGACCCTAGAAATCCTCAAGGAATCAACTCAAAATCACAAAATAATTCTTTCATATGCTTGCTTCTCTATGATTTTATCATGAAAATTAGTTGATTGAATCATATCAATGGAATACCAAGTATCTGGTGAAACTAATTTCTAATTATGCACCATCACTCTATCTTCCGAAGGGCATAAAGTCATGGCCAAATTCATCAATCCTAAATTGTAAATGAGTCCATTATATGCAAGTTTCCCAGCTTTCAATAATTTGAAGAATATCAATGAACTTTGTGAATTTCCTGAACGTTTCATATTTAAATATTTATTAAGGGAAATTCTTTTATTTGCCTTATAACAATAAACAATATTTGTAACCAATCATTAATCATGCTTTTTTAACCCTACCCATAATTCTTATTAGCGAACTATCATTCATGCCATATAATGGAATTTGCAAATTTCAAAAATGCGAGGAAAAATTTTAGGTTCTTACAAAGGTTAAGAGATATCTCCAAGCAGCTTAAAATTGCACAAATGCCAACATCACCTGAATTCTTGTTAATACTGTAATAAATATAATTCAAAAAAAAATATGCTGAGGAGTTGAAGTTTCATCTGATACACTTCACAGAAATTGTAAAATAGTAGTTTTATGAATCATGGTATAATAATAAACAAGGTTACAACTGAGAACGCAATGTGAGCTTTTGCTTTTCGTGTTACAAAACACGCGCGCGAATAAAAATTCAAATAAGTTGGGTTTTGCATCATCTTCATCGCAAAGAGCAAAAAAAATGACATCACTCGGGCCAAGACAACAGTCTATTTTATTAAATTCGAAACA